CAAATCATATTCGCATATCAATCAAATTATATTTATTTTTCTTTAGTAAAATGTATAATAAAAATAGTCTTTTTGCTAGTAACTGCATGACTTATCTTTTATAATTAGTTACACAACACGTAAAAAATAATAAAAAATACTAAATATTACATTCAAAAGAGCGAGTTAGGCACATACTTTGATTTTCTTTTACTATACGGAGAATGGTCGCACTGCGCAGCTTTCTGAGTGCCTTTTAAAAGGAGATAGAAAACTCCGCCATTTTGATCCCTTATTACGTGTTGCCTACATCTTGGCACAATATTTTTAATAGGTGCGTTTTAATCATCCGCTTCTGCTTCGGAATTGTCGGTTTTCTTGTTTTAATCTGACAGGTTAAAACGACTAAACCAATGAAATATATAGATTAATAGACTGCTCATCCATATATAAACAAGACGACGAAAAGCGGGTCATATTGCTTGGCTTGCCGAGTAGAGGTGGGAAGTTCGAATCTTTTTACTGAATTAATTCATTTGATTCATTCACCTAAAAAGATTCGTTCTTAAAGATTCGTTCTCAAGTGATTCACTTTAGCGAACCACGAACGATGTTATTCCGCCGATCCGTCGAAGGAAATCAAACCGAACGTTTACGAATTTGAGAACTACCTATTTACTAGGTCGTCGAGTGGCGTTCAGTCTGTAATGCGTAAGAAAGAATGTAATGATTTGAGTGGTGAGATGCTTAAGTAAAATAATTAATACCGGTTTTATTTTAATTTGATATTTTAAAGTATAGCGAATTAATATTTCATAAAAAGAAGACAGATGGAAATTTAAATACTATAATAGTAGGTTCATCCTTGTCCGTTAAGATAAACAACAGTAACACAATTTTTTTTAATGCTAAATATAGCCAAAACTAACGAAAAATTATAGATATATGATTCGTCATTTATTGCTTTACTTATTTACTTTGATTTAAATTTATTTATCAGACAACGCGCATAAATTGTTTACCTAAGTTTAATACACCTCTGGTAAAGTGAGAAAAACATTACAGACACATACCGCCACCGCCTGTAAGTTCGAGTTCTTGTATTATGCTGTAGAACGTAGAACAAAAGCGACCGATTTGCCGATGCTGATTTAAAATACCGAATCTTCGAATCAGATCCGAATGAACGAAACAACCAAACTCGGAATTGGGCGTTCTTGATCGATCACAGAGCCGTCGAACAACTGACTCAAAAAAGATTCGAATCTTTTAAAAACAGGGAATTAATTCATTCGAGTCAGTGCACTGATTCGTTCTTTTTGAACGAATCGTTCGCGAACGACACACCTCTATTGCCGAGTGCTCACCAGGCAGAATCGGTCTGGCCCAAATGAGTTTAAAACACATATTTCATCAAAGTAGGAATTGAATTAAAAAAAAAAATATATATCTGTATTTTAAAAAAGGATTTTGAGTCGTAACGTCTAGTTTCCCAATTTTCAAAACATTTTAAGAGATCTAACCAATTTTGAACATAGACATAAACAATTTTACACTCATGTGTATATAACTAACTATAGACCATGACTACTGTATAGTGGCACTATTCGGACACTTGATTATTCTTTTAAAATTTATTTCGCATTATAAAAGCAGATATTATGCAAAAATTGAATGAACTTTTTAAAGATTTAAAGTTAGTAGCTTTTTCACATTCTAAAGTTTGTCCCTTTAGACAATTAAGGATTATTTTGGCGGTGAATGTGAATGATTTGATGAATAATAATAAAATTCCACCAGTGGAAATCTGATCAACATCATAGTAAAATGGACTAGGTACAAAGTGCAATCTTAGTTGACGTCAAGATCCGTGTACCTTAGCATCGGTTAGAGGGAAATAAAGATTCTGACTTACAATCACAAAAAGAATGTACAACTAAGCTTAGTCGATGTAAGTTAGCTCAGATTAGTGGTAAAAAGAAAGCGACTATTAATAAAAAGAAAAGTAATCGAGCTAAAACAAGAATTATGGCTACTGTCTTTAATAATGATATGTTGCCAGTACTAGTAGAATGTTAAGTGTTGAGTTATCTTCTTCAGGCAATGGATGTACGTATGCATAATTTAAAATGTTTGGTTAATTATTATTATTATTATTATGTTTAATGTGTTTTTGCAGTTAATGAACATATATCTACTACTGAAGCAGATAATGAAGATTTGTGTGCTGCTGAATAGCTTTGCTTAATTTACAAAACTTTGTTTAAAAGCAGAAAATTGGGATCGATTGTTCAACACAAGTGAAGAGTGGTGATTTAGTTGATCCGTTTTCAAACAGAATTGTTAGTGCTAAAGAACTATCTACTTTAATAGGATTGCAATCCTTCCAGTTATTAGCCACCATTGTGGAATTAGTAGCAGAGTTGTTTCTAAAGAATAGGAAAAAGGAGATCAGTTATGTCTGTAAAGGATACATGTTATATTTACTTTTATGAAGTTGAAAACTGATATGCAAGATATAATGTCTTATTCATTTTATTTGGAGTGAATGAAACTTTTTATCGTTAAATTTTTTAACAGTTTTTAATAAAACTGGTAGAAGTTCTTGGTATGGTATAATTCGGCCTTCAAAACAAGAAATATTAAATAATGTGCCTCTATGTAAGTAAGAGTACTACTACTTGATTGTACCGAAATCCCAATACAGCAAGCCAAATGTCTTTGTTGTAGGCTAAAAAAATTACTCTCGACTACAAAAAGAGGCATACTATTAAAATATTGACTGGAGTGTCACCTACTGGTCTCATTACTTACAAAAGTGAAGCATATGGTGGTAAACTTCAGAAATAGACATTTTTTAACAAAGCTCAATACTTGAAGTGTGTGAATCATTTCTCGATAGTAAAATGTTTAACAAAGGTTTTCTTATTGGAAACATAACAGAAGCTGAAGGTATACAAATTATACAGCCTCCTTTCCTCAATAAAAAAAATCAGTTCAGCCATCAAGAGGCTTTACTTAATGCCAAAATTGCCAGAGCTAGAATTCACATAGAAAGAACCTATCAAAGAATAAAAGTGTTTGTCTCTCTGTATATTGGTACTTATGTCCCTTTTTCTTCTATTTATATTGAGTTTTTATTATACGATACTTCTCTGTATCTAACTAACTTTTAAAATGTACTTGTAAAGCCCAGATAGCTCTTAACTCGGGCCTTTGAATATAATAATATTTATGTAATTGTATTTACAATAAATACTTTATTATTATTAATATTATTATTATAATTAATTATAATTCGTAAAATTATTATAAACGTATTTACCTTGTACCTACTTGTATTGATACTTGCGTGAAAAATGAAATGTTACTTTTTATATTTCTGTAGAAACCTTTATAGAGCAATTCTCCATTTAAATTTAAAAACAAAACAAGTTTTTATACTCAAATAATTAAAAAACTTAAAACAGAACATAAGTATAATTAAAACTAAATAAAATAAACAATTCAACAAAATGTCCGACTGAGTAATGACAATGAGAACAAAATCTCAACTAGACTAAACTTTCTTTAAAACCGGTCCTGTGAAAGGTTTGTTTACCAGTGAGCACTCAAAATTGAGACAAAACACAAACATTGCATGCACTAGACAAAGAGAAAATATCTCCCAGTTCGACCCACTTTTCATCGTTTAAACTATATATGTCATTGGACTAAACCGACATTTCCGGAAGCAGAAGCGGATGATTAAAACGCACCTGATATTTTGCTTGTTGCTGTCAGTGTCAGTAATTATTATTTTTGGAGTCACAGTTTATTGCTAAAGAATCAGTTAGCTCACTCGGACCAGTTGAAAGTTCCAAAATAACATCCACTCCAGAGATACAAATTCAGGATACGCAGAAGACTGCTGTTTTATTATAGGCGGTTGTCATATATTGTATTATCCGAGTTGCGCAGTGTATAAACTGGAACATTGAGATCAAAAGTGCCGACGCAGAGTGAGCGATCTGATTCTTTAGCTATAAACTGTGGCATAGGAATCAAAATGGCCGCGCCCTATGTTGGGCGTGTCGGACCTCTCTCTTGCACCGTATAGTAATCAAAGTATGTGGAGTTAGGCCTCTCGCCGAATCACTTTATATTTGCTAATCCAAGCCACCGTTCTTTCCAGGTATGTGATAAAGAAAGAAATATTTTCAGGAGATCGAAATAAAAATATTATTGGAAAACGGTTTACCACAAAACTCAATTAGTTTTTGGTTTTAACAAAAACTTGTAAATAGAAAAAAAATCAGCTACAAACTCCAGTTTTCCAAAAATTTATATCTGCAAATTGATAAAATTTAATATTGATTTTTAATTTTTATTTAAAAAACTAGGGTGTAACAAAAAAATTAAAAGACGAGATTATTAGGGTTTCTTTTGAATAAATACTTCAGCAAAAAATGAAATTATACTGATGATAAATAATTAAGATACATGGACAATGCTAAAATAGTGAACCGCAAAAACAGCCTTAATTATTTAATTGTTTTTTTTTTGTGGGAAAAACCGAAAAGTTGAGCTTTTAAAAATATATACGTCCAAATTAAAGTATATAGGTACATTCAAATAAAATTATAAACACAAATTTTAATCCAAAATGTCAACTGTTATTTATTTCAACGATCAACCATAAATAAATCCAATCCAACACAAGGCGTTCAAGGCCACATCAGTGAAACAACGATTCCAACAAACCGATGGGAAAAAGACACACGTATAAATGTTGAAAACAAAAAACGGCTGAAGTACCTTAAATTTTTATTTTTACGAGCTGAAATATATTTATTGCGTTGCCTCAAAATTTTCAAAATCGGCAATTAAATTCTCAACATTATGACTTATATTTAGTTATTTCGAAGAATACTTATTTTAGATATACCTACGTAATTTTAAAATTTTGATGATATACGTAAAATTTAAATTCTTATCCAATCTTTTTTTATTTTATGTATCACTTATTTTTTTTTTTTTAGTTCAAGAAAAGTGTATCAGATGAAATAACTTCTGCAGTATCTAGCGCAGTGTCCACTATTAAACCGCATACTGTTAGTCAGCCGCCTTGTTACCATAGAAAATCCAAATCTGAAAATTCGAAAAGAAGAAAACTTCCTTTGCTGACCGGCGACGGTCCACACGAGTAAGTGATCAATAATTCTTTGAAGTCAGGTACAAAGGGAATAAGTCACAAATTTTCAAAATTTAGATAAAATAAGGTTTTAAGTCAGAATTTTATGCTCTTTCTTTTGTTAAAGCGCAGTGAATTAGTATAAAGGCGGTAAGTTAGAAATGTTTTGAAGTGCTCGGTACTAACGTCTCAAGTTTATATTTTCTTTACCTAAAACAGAAATTTTTGACGTAAGTCCCTATTACCTGAAGTTAGAAAATTTTGGCGAAGATGCTACGACTGCTACGTCATTCACATTTTTATTTCTCCCTTTAGATCGACCAAGGACTTCATAAAATCGCTAAAGCTCGATAATAAACTAGAACACAAACTCGAGAAATTAGACAAATCGAAGAAATCGAAGGATAAGAAATTGACGTTGTTTTTCAAATCGAGCGACAGCGACGTTGCCGTAACTTCTACTGTAGACAAGAGAAGACGAAGCGCCCCTTGCGAAAGCGAAGATGCCGTATTGCAAATGGACGCGGCTCCTGTTAACACGCAACAAATGGTTCCTCACATGTTGGGTGGAGAGGTATATTTGCATCAATGGAAGGTCATCAATTCAGGAAAATCATCATGGACCAACGATGTAAGTCTAATAGTTCAGTAAAACACTGTTAAAATGCAATATAGGTAGCAGAGGGTGATACATTCTAAATAATATATTGCATTATAAGTGCATGAAGTGACTTTTTGAACGAGTTGAAATTTTGTCAAACGAGGTGTAAACCGAGTGCGATTATCATACTGCAAGAAATCACATGGGTGCAAAAAATTACTTTTGAACAAACGTTGAACATTATTTCCTAATGCTACAAGATAAATATAAAACCAGCTGGCTATTCAAGGGTAGAAACTTTTAAGTCTATTTTTTTAAAAATGTTTTCTCTTAAAGTTCTAACTTAACTTCTAATCGATTCTTTTTACCATCAGTTCTTTTTTACAGTCGATACTATTTACAATCTTACAGTCTTACAGTCTTTTTTCAATCGATTATTTTTCACAATCTTTTTTTAACAATCAATTATTTTACAATCGATTATTTTTACAACCGATTATTTTTACAATCAGTTATTTTTTACTGTCAATTCATTATATTATAATTATTTTTTTTACAATCAGTTCTTTCTACAGTTGATTATTTTTTTACTATCAATTCATTTTATTATCTAATCGTTTTACAATCGTTATTTTTTTAGTCTATTTTAGAATGGAATTTTTTGCAATAGATATCTTTCGAATCCCTTCATACTAGATTAATTTATAATCGTTTATTTTTTACAATCTAATTCATTTTACAATAGAATTTTTGTTGCAGTCGATATTTTTTTATGATCGAATCTTTACAATCGATACATTTTACGTTAAATTTATTTTACAATTGTTACTTTACGATCGATTCTTTTAAAACTTTTTTTTTTTTAATATCGATTCATTTTATAATCGAATCTTTTTATTTTTACCATCGATTTTTTTACAACTTATTACAATGGATTTTTCACAATCGATTCATACGATCGATTATTTTTACTATTAGTTGTTTTAAATATTGATTCTATCTATAAATTTATTTTACAATCGAATCTTTTACTTTTTACCATCGAGTTTTTTATGAATTATAATGGAGTTTTCACAACCGATTTTTAGTATCGATTCTTTTTACTATTAGTTTTTAATATCTATTCTATCTGTAACGGTTCTTTTTTTACTATCAATTTCTTTTATAATCAAATCTTTTAAAATCGATTCTTTGAGATATTTTCCTTTTTTAATAAAATCTTTTAAAATCGATTCTTTTAGATATTTTTCTTTTTTAATAAAATATTTACAATCGATACTTTCTATAATCGATTCTTTCAATGGTCGATTTTTTTTCTATCGAAAATCAGCTGGCTATTTAAGGGTAGAAACTTTAAGTCGATTTTTTAAAATGTTTTTCCATTAAAGGCCTAACTTCATCTAATCGATTCTTTTTACAGTTAGATCTTTTATATTGTCGGGACTGTACTATTTACAATCGTTTATTTTTCACAGTCGATTTTTTATAATCAATTTTTTTAACAACCATTATAGAACCGACCAATTTCACAATCGCTTATTTTGTACAATGGATCATTTTTACTATGAATTCATATTGTAATAATTTTTTATTAATCGATTCGTTTTACATTTGATTTTTTAATCTATTTTACAATGTAATTTATTACAATAATACCTTTCCAATCCTTTTGCACTAGATTATTTCATAATCGATTATTTTTACTATTAATTCATTTGAAAATCGATTTTTCTACAATCCATACTTTTTTTATAATCGAATCTTTACAATCGATACCTTATACTATCGATTTATTTTACAATTATTACTTTTTACAATCGGGTTTTTTAAAATAGATTTTTCACAATCGATTTTTACGATCGATTTTTTTACTATTAATAGTTTTTACCGTCAATTATTTCTATAAACGCTTATTTATTGTATCGATTCATTTTATAATTAAATCTTTTACCATCGATAAATTTCAGAATCGGTTCATTTTAAAATCGTTACTTTTTTATAATCGTTTCCTTTCATTTTTTAATCAGATATTTTTATAATCGATTCATTTTACAATCGTTACTTTTTGCAATCGATTTTTTAGTCCAATTTACAATCCTTTTTGCACTAGATTCGTTTACAATTGATTTATTACAATGTGTTTTTCATAATCGATTTTTCACAATTTATTTTTACGATCGATTCTTTTTACTATTGTTTTTAGTATCGATTCTATCTATAAACGGTTCTTTTTACTATCGATTCCTTTTGCATTAAAATCTTTTTAAAATCGATTCTTTTAAACATTCTTCTTATTATTGATTCTTTTTACAATCCATTCTTCTTACAACTGATAATTTTTTATCCTCGATATATTTTATAATCGATTCATTTTACAATCAACTTTTTTGTCTATTTTACAATATAATTTTTTACAATAAATATCTTTTCAATCCTTTTACACCAGATTCTTTTATAATCGATAATTTTTTACTATTAATTCGTTTGAGAATCGATTTTTTTTTATAATCGAATCTTTACAATCGCGACCTTTTAATATCGATTAATTTCTAATTGTTACTTTTTACAATTGATTATTTTAAAACCGTTTGTTTTTTACTATCGATTTATTTTTTAATCGATTCTTTACTTTTTACCATCGATTTTTTTACAATTGATATTACCATAGATTTTTACAATCGATTTTTACGATCGATTTTTTTACTATTAATAGTTTTTACCATCAATTGTTTCTATAAACGGTTCTTTATTCTATCAATTAATTTTATAATCAAATCTTTTACCATCGATACATTTCAGTATGAGTTCATTTTGAAATCGATACTTTTTTTTAATCATTTGCTTTCACTATTGATTGTTTTTACTCTCGATTAATTTTTTAATCAGATAATTTTATAATCGTTACTTTTTGCAACGATATTTTAGTCCAATTTATAATCCTTTTTCCACTAGATTCTTTTACAATTAATTTATTACAATGGATTTTTCATAATCGATTTTTTATAATCTTATTTTTACGATCGATTCTTTTTACTATCAATTCTATCTATAAACGGTTCTTTTTTACTATTGATTCTTTTTTTATTAAAATCTTTTTAAAATCAATTCTTTTAAACATTTTTATTTTTACTGTTGATTCTTTTTACTATTGATTCTTTTTACAATCCATTCTTTCTACAACCGATAATTTTTACTATCTATTTTTACTATGAATTCATATTATAATTCTTTTATAATCGATTCGTTTTACAATCGATTTTTTAGTCTATTTTACAATGTAATTTTTTACCATAATGCCTTTCCAATCCTTTTGCACTCGATTCTTTTATAATCGATTATTTTTGTTATTAATTCATTTGAGAATCGATTTTTCTACATTCTATACTTTTTTATAATTGAATCTTCACAATCGATACCTTTTACTATCGATTTATTTTACAATCGTTACAGTTTACAATCAATTTTTTAGTCTATTTCATAATGTAATTTTTACAATAGATGCCTTTTCCAATCCCTTTTTTACTAAATTCTTTTATAATCAATTCATTTTATAATCAACTCTTTTTAACCATTGATACATTTCAGAATCGATTCATTTTAAAATCGTTACTTTTTTACAATCGATTCTTTTTCTAATCATTTCCTTTTACTATTATTTTTACAATAGATTCATTCTACAATAGATGTATTTTAGTACCGATTTATTTTATAATCAAATATTTTTTATGATCGCCTCTTTTTACAATCGATTTTTTAGTCCATTTTACAATCCTTTTTTGCTTTAGATTCTTTTATAATCGATTATTGTTTACAATTTTTTTTTAAATTGAATCATGTACTTTTTACACTCTGTATTTTCTGTAATCTGTACTTTTTATAATTAAATCTTTACAATCAATACTTTTCGCAGTTGATTATTATTTACTATCAATTCATTTTATAATCGAATCTTTTTTACCATCGAGTCTTTTTATAGTTGATTTAATACAATGGATTTTTCACAATCCAGTTTTGTGATCGATTTTTTTTACCATGGATATTTTTCACAATTGACTCTTTTTACAATTGTTACTTTTTACTATTGGTTGTTTTTGTAGTCGATTATTGTTTACTATTGAGAAATTTTACAATAGATTCTTTTTATTAATAAATGTTTTTACAATCAATTCTTTCTAAAACCGATTCTTTTTTACTATTGAATAATTTAATAATCGATATTTTAATCAATGTATACAATTTAATTTTTACAATATAGCTTTCACAATCGATTCTTTTTGCATTAGTTTCTTACTATTGGTTCTTTTTACGGTCTTCTTACAATCGATTTTTTACAGTTGATTTATTACAATGGATTTCCACAATCGATTATTTTTACCGTGTATAATTTTCACAAACGATTCTTTAACGATTGTTACCTTTTACTATTAATTGTTTTTATAATCGATTCATTTTGCAATCGATTCTTTCTTAAACCGATTAGTTTTTACCATTGAATAATTTTACTATTGATTCTTTTTACAGCCTTCTTACAATCGAATATTTTTTTCTATCAATTTATTTTATAATTGAATCTTTTTATCAATCGATTCTTTTTTTTACCTCACAAAATATATTAAATTTCTTTCAGACTTCTCTAATGTTCACATGGGGTTCCAAGGCGTTAAGAGCTTTGGACACAATTGTTCCAGTACCACATTTAAAACCTGGCGACACTGGAACCATATCAGTACGTCTTCAGATACCTAGTAAGTGCTTTCATCATCTTAAGATGTTAATATTATGGTTTTCCTCACAGCTTATCAGGTTCATTTTATTTCAAACTTGTTCTTTTTGTTTGTTAGATCAACCCGGCCTATACGAGTGCTACTTTCATTTCCATCACAAGGGTCGTAGATTCGGACATTGGTTGGGATGTCAAGTCGTCGTTGATCCATTCGATTTGAAGGGCAACAAGTCAGTTTTGGAAACTTCTTACTTGCCGCCGTTTGAAACGGCTTCCAGAAACGTATCTTCCACCTCGGACGATCTTTATAACATCTCAAATCCTGTAACACGATATGAAGCAATTTGGGAAGGTATGATATTACTTGTTATCGATTTATTGAGAACATTTTAATACAATCTATTTTAGGTACAGCGGCAACAGCGGGAACCGGATATACTTTCAACTTCGATGAAAATACCAAAGATGTCGACTTGCTAAACAAGAAAACTGATTTATACGATAATCAAATAACTAGAATCCCTATGGATAAAGTAGTGCGCGATCTGAGTTCCAGAGTGGGCGACATGAAGTTACAAGATCCTACAGATACGAATTGCAGCAGCGATTCCGACAATCAGAGCATCATTTCTTTGTCAGAAAGCAATTCTTCGAAAAGTAATACATCTACGACGTCTTTTTTATTAAAGCCTTAACTGTAATTTTAGTTTTAACAGGTATCCCATCCGAATACGTCGTCGTTCCGATACCGGAATGCTTTAAACTCGACGAACAGTCTACCCTGAAATCTCCAGAGAATTTCAAACCCGACAACAATTCCGAAGATCTACTGAAACCGTCGACATCCAAAGTGACCGTTGAAGATGCGTCTTTGAACAAGGGCGCCGATAAGAAAGTTGAGTCGTCAGATGCGGCAGATAAAGAAAAATCTTTGGAAAATTTCGATGATAACAACAACGAGGATTCAAAAGAGAACGCGGAAAAGGATAAGGATGTTTTTCAAGATGCGATTTCGACTTCTAATGGTTTTAAATCGGACATCGTTATGGTGACTCTACCGGAAACCAATCAAGATGATGAAGGTATGTAATAATATTTTATAATAATACAATGTTCCAAGACATGAAGTAAAATTTGTCATTGTTTTTTTAAACTAGCGGGTTTTACTTTCCTTTTGCTAAGTCATTGCAGAAAAAAATAAATAAATACATATGATTGATTCCTGAATTACTATGCAGTGTGAGATCACGTTTGTTTTGGTTTAAACGGAACTATCGATTCCACTTATCAAATACAGTTGACTAATTCTTTTTCAAGAATATGTCGCGAGATTTTAACAGCCTATTCTGTTTCTGAACCATTATTTTTTTATGTACTATTAACTCTAGAGAGTTAAACAGGTCTTTATAAAACTCCATACAGGGTGGGCCACCAGTAACGCCTCGTTCTGTAAAATCAGAAAAGGCAACAATTTCAATTATACAAGGTTCCCCAAGAAAGTGATATATATCAAAGTTGTTTTTTTTTTTTTTAAATGGTGCACCCTGTTTTTTGTTTTATATTTGAATTGCCCTCGCTTTTCCCATTATAATAATACTAAATTGTATGAAATTATACAGGGTGTTTCACGCGCTAAAACCATATATACAGATATTTGTTAATTAATGTGACAATTGTTATAATGGGTTTGTTTAAATACAACTTCATCTGTATTTGAACATTTACCAAACAACACGTGGATTTATGTTTCTATTATTTTTAATCATTAACATTTATCACCATTCTTCTTTCATTAGATGAAAAAGTTAAGTTACATATTTCCAATAAACTGTTTCAAATTTCACGATCCAAATCAGTAAGTAAAATGTGCCATTATGTTTTTTAAACTAGCGGGTTTTACTTTCCTTTTGCTTGGTCATTCCAGAAAAATATTAAATATGATTAATTCCCGAGACATTTTAACAACCTATTGAGATGATCAAGTCTAATTCACTATTTCTTAACTATGAAAGAACCAAAACATTTCTAATAGCACCTTGTATTTTATTTATTTGGCAAGGAGTGAGTAGCCATGTGTGATTTGAGGTTAGTATAAAGGTGAAACAAAGAAAAATGCATTGAATTTCACAAGACAAAATCCTCATCTTTGTCATTAACAGTGCTTTTTTTTTTCCTACAATTTGCTAAAAGTCTGGCTCTCTGTTCACACAGACTTGCAGTTCTAGGACAATCTGTTGACGTGGTGTTTTCTAGGTAATAAAAGTTATTGACGATTAACCTATATTTATATTTATTAAGAAACTAACATTATTTTTTGACGTACTATTAATTTAGTCAGGAGTAGAAAAATGGTATTCTTGAAAGCCTTTGCCTGCCGTATGCGAGTGATCCCGCATGCGTCGCTTGGCGAATGATTTGCAACGAACGGTCTTGACCATTCGACAACCTTATCTCGCATGCAGTAACTATGGGTGTCCAAGCATGTTGTCACTGTCACATAGATCTAATATAAAATAGATTCTTCCTAGTTTATGTTTTTAATACATTTTTTTATAATTATCAAGTGTTCATTAATCATTATGTCATTAACTTTATTTATTGTATTTAAAAGTGTACATTTTTTATAAAATTTTATTAAAATTTTATAAAACGATATAGAGGAATTATTACAAAATATTGAAGAGGCACAATTAGATGCAGAACTACATCTCAATTACACCGGGCGGCAGGATCAATTTTTGTTACCAGATAGACAGTTTATAAAAATATTTTGCTAATTTTAAAATTTTTCATTCATTCTCAATCTATTTCCAAATACCTACTCAAATTTATTTTAATAATAATAGAAACTACTAAATTGAGTAATTTGACACTCACACACAGGTTGATTTTTTTGACACTTTTTGTTATAATTTCCTGAAATTTTATTGGTTGAAAACGATTGAACTGCTGTAATAATCAAAGACTCTTCGCTACATCATGCGACACGAAACTACCCTAATAAAGGGCAGTCAAGAATACAAATTTTCAGTCCCACAGCGCACAGTTAGGAATTGAGCCCCAGGTTTTTATGAACCATCATATATAACAAAGTTCCATATGAAACACTGTCACCAACATTATCGAGCTTATCAGTCATTCTTTTTAGAAAACCATATAAAATTTGGCATCGCTTATACCATGCAATACTCGTCTGTTTAATGTTTCTCTGTCAATGAAAGTAATGGCTGGCTGTAAAATTCCGAAGTAGTAGTTTATATAAGAGAATTGAGTGGTTGACACAATCAAATTTGTTACTTAAATCTAAAAATGTAGCTAATGAAATATGTTTATTATTAATTTCTTCAAAAATGTTTTCTAGTACATTTATAATTGCCCTTATTGTTGATTTTTTTTTTGTCCTATACTCATACTGTTAGTTGGAGAATAATTTATGTTCAAAGATTTAACACTTAACAAACAAAAAGTGGTTTTTTGTTTGTACCATTTTTTAAGCATCAACATGTATCACCATCCTTCTTGCATCAAATGAAAAAGTAAAGCTGTATATTTCCAATATAATGGTCCAAATTTCATGTTCCAAGTCGGTAAATAAAAGCTGTCATGTTTTTTAAACTAGCGGGTTTTACTTTCCATTGTTATAATTTTTTTGCGGTGAAATAATTTAAATAGAAATTTTTGAATATTTGGATTTTTTTTATTAATTTATAAAACATTACCAAAAAAAAATTTCTTTACTAAAACTAGCCAAAAAAGCTGAAAATCTACCAAAAGAGTAAAAATATACCTAAAAAATGTAAAAATGTGGCAACGTTAGATCAGAGATCCCCAGTCCGAGTGACCCAACCAAGTGAAGTTAACTGCCGTGTCGTAATGTACGTGCAATGCTCAAAATAGCGTGGTTTCACGGATCTGTTGACCTTCTCTTTTTAACTACAGGCATTCACGTAAACCTCTCGCGATCAATCAGTATTTTGCGGCGATAGACGCGATCACAGTGATGCCAGATCTAGCGAATTGTCCCAAGTTCTTGGGAGATTTTTGCCAAATTATTTTTCCTACATTAAGGCACCAAATTAAAAATAAATCGATAATGTTACAGATGCTCGTTTAAAATTAATGCCTTTTAAAAAATGTACACGCCACTGATAATTAATTTATATAGAATATTTATATGTATTTTCTATGATTATTTGTTTCATTGAAATTTTTTTTAAAACCTTTATATTATTTTCATTTATGAAATTATAACTGTTGATTTCGTAAACGTCTAGGTACATTTCATTCATAAATCTCTAGGGCAGCGTTACTCAAAGTGTGGTCCGTGGAGCCTGGGGCTCGGCAAAGCCTTTGTGGGGACTCCGCTAAGAAAATAATAGCCATTGTTACGGGTTTTATTCTACCTAAATCTATTCCAGTCTAAAATACCCTAATTTACACTATTCTAACTTATTCTATTTGCTAGCCTATCTTATTCTAAGCTACTCTAAACTAAACTAGACTAAACTACACTATTCTAAATTATTCTACGCTTAACTATTTACATTATTCTACTTCTAATCTATCCTACGCTTAACTATGTACACTATTCTACTTCTATTTAATTCTAACTTACCCTAAGCTACTCTAATTACTAAACTAATCTATTAGTTACCTATTCTACTATAACCTATGCTAATCTCTTTAGTTACCTTTCAATTTAAGAGTGTGCGGTATATAAATGTATACAAATCGATAAAATGGGTCCATTAAATAAATTCATAAAATATCCATTTTTATCAAACATATTTTGTAGTAAAATATAAAATAATGTTTTGTAATAGAGTATAATCTCACCTGCAGTATATTCAATAATAATTAATACCTTTATAAATAATTTATAATGTAAGTAAATATATTTCGCTACTTTGAACAATAACTCTAGCTCATTTAATTACTAAAAAGCTTTATTTTTATTGTTATTGTTTACATGTCAATTTTAACTCCTTCAGTTGTCAGATTCTTCTAAATTTATAAATAATGACCACAGTCTTACCAGAAATTATCCTATTACCCTTTTGTAGTCAGGGCCTTCTTGCTAAGACATTGACTTTTGTTGGCCATTTTGTGGAACTTCCTTCCTGGCCCAGTTTTTGCTTGGATTCTGATTGTGGCATGTGCCAAGATTTCAACTAGGATTTTCTAGGGTTTATTCCTTTGCAAAAACCGTAGATTCCTTTAGTCCGATATATTGCTAGTGATCTTTGTGATTCATACACCTAGTGGTGGATATAGTATCGGCTAAAAGTGTGAATTTAATTATTAATAATCTAAAAGGTCACATACCATCAAGGGTGAGTTTTTCAAAATGAATTATTATTTCACTTACCTATATTCCCAACAGCCTTCTGTATACATACTAGTTACAATCGTCAATGTTTTTCAGACCTCCTTGGTTCGCTCCTTTCATTAGTGCGTTCCTTTCTTCGCTCGCTCCGATTTACAATTCTGAGTAACGCTTTTATTAGAGGAATACTTCTAAGGACTGTGTGCAAGTTCTCTCCACCTCTCCATATAGAATAGGGCTTCTCCACTTCACCGTTTGCGTGCTAGCAATAGAGAACAGACAATTAGATAACCGAATACGAAGTAATTTTCATAGCGGTCTACCTACCGACATCAAGAGGAAGCTACCTAACTGGACATCGTCCTTCATTGAGTTCACTTAATCACAAGTAAGACGGTTCCTTTTTCTAACCCTATATTTCGGAGGGCCCCATCTACTAACGAGATTAGGTTGTTTGAGACTCAGCCTACAACAAACAGAGTTAAATACCTGATTAAATACTCAATTTCTTTTGTATATATACTTATTAATTGTAATATCCACCTACCGGGTTTTCTTTTGTAATACGAAGAGTACTCTACGTAACCGCACTTTTACCACCCACTTGGAGGGTTATATATTATAAGTGTATGTAAGTTATAGGTAAGAAAAGTTGTGGGAACGCCTTGTACATAATAATTTTCTTTTGTTCCTAATAATAGTCCACATTTCGGATACATGTAATTTTTTGGTTATAAATTTTACTTTTGACAACAC